TTTTAGAGAAGAAAGAAATCACCCACTGACTTTCAAAGCTTTCAAACGACTTTCTACTTTGAGGATCTTGATAGAAATGTAGTGGAGTGAAAAGTACAATATTTGTCTTTCAAATGTAGTGAAGTTAAAGTCATAAGTTCCCAGAAAAATTAATACTCAAGTAAAGTACAGATACTCAAAAAGTGTACTTAAGTACAATACTCAAGTAAATGTACTTAGTTACTGTCCGCCTCTGGTGACATGCACTGACTAGTTGTCGCCTTTACTTATGCTGTTTGATAAACTGTTAGATTAATTCATATTGAGTAAAAATGTCCAAACTTTATAATCGTTATCGACAAATTTTACTGCGATCTCGATATATATCGATTATCACCCAGCCCTAGTCAGATTAGACCAAACTTGCAGGAAAACTTCATCCACCATTGGATACCTTCATTGAGGCAGTTGGGTGGACCATACAAGAGCATCACTTTCCTTTTCTTGTTGTATTCATTACTCTAATGAAATGCATATTCAGTGTTGAAATTATGTTGTGCAGTGTCAGGAAACGAGGCTTTATCCTAACCTTGTATGCATTGCCAAAGGACTTTCTTGTAATATGCATAGCTTCTGTCATGAGCAATTTTTTTTTTGACTAAGTCTTTCAGCAATTCTAACATCTCAGCCTCAGATAGAAGAAAATAACTTCTCTATTCTCTGTTACTCGGTCTATAGGTCACACTTCTTAAGATCTTTTCTCACTTTTTTTGTCTTTTGCTTACAGTTTCTCACATTTTGCAGTAGATGTTTCATCCAGTCGACTTATTTGCAAGTGAGAATGCTAAGAAGGTAAGAATAAAAAGGATAAGGATATATTACATTTGAAAGTGATTATAGTATAATGTAGGATAAAACAAAAAACTTAAGATTTCAATTTTCATAAATTTTAGCATCATGTTTTCTTGATTTGGTAGTCAAAACTCCATTGATAGCATTCAAAAATTGAAAATAACCATTATATTTAGGATGTGCACCAGACAATGTCTCTTGGTTGTCTTCAGTTTAAAATAACTTTTATTAAAAATTGTATTAAGAATTGTTTTGAAATTGTATTTTTTGTACATGTAAAACAACGATTTCACCTCAGGGCAAACCTGGGAACATGATGGGACCTCTGCTAGTTCATCTGCTTTTTCAAGGTATAGAATATGTTTTCCTCATTCATATAATAGATGCAGCTGATAAGGGTATACAGTATGAAAAAAAATGTCACTGTAGATATTTTTCAAATATTTTTAAACATTTTCTGACCTCAGAGGTCAGGTATTTCAGCACCTTTATTTCTGAAGATATCTGTTGTCTTTTCTTGTGCTGCTTCTTTGGCATTTTACTGTGTTGCACAACTGGTAGACTAGTAAGTATGTGGCTAAATTTAAGGTCATGCATTTTTAGAGGCTATAGCTGCAGTTGGTTAGAAAAACGATTCCGTATTTATGTGAGATCAGCCAAGGAATTCTTAGCCAACATAATTTCGACAACATGATAACACTCTAAATAGCCTACTGATTAATACAAATTAATCCATTATTGTCAGACTTAATCATTTGAGCAAAAGGGAAGGTATAATATTTCTTGTAATATTCAGGGATGCAAACTTGTCAGCGACATTCACCGTTTTGAATAAAAAATTGGTCATTTGTGTGATTTGTGTAGATCCAGTGAGTTTTTAAATTGTTTGTTTGCAATCATGTGATTCTGATGACGCGCGAAATTCAGATGGAGGGCAGGAAGTGAAAAGCAGAATAGATGAGATGGAGGAAAGTCCGTATACTGTACTGGTTTAGACACTATTACAAGAAAAAGGTATAGACCCTTTTTCAGTTAGTAAACATTGTGACGTGTTTTATAGGTGGAGCTTAGGTGGAGGCAGAAAGATTACACTAGCTAGCAAGTTTTGTTTGCTTGTTTCTTAACAATGACTGGAGAAAATTTGATTTTATCTGAATATGTAATGTCACTCACTGTCCAAGAGGAGAATGAGTTTTTTGCCCAGCCATATTTATTTGAACCGGAGTATACCGACCAGGAACTCCGCGAGATGGAGGAGGCTGCAGCGGCACAAACTACAGATGTAGTTCACGTGGTTTCCCTGTGCTATAAACAAAACTTGGTTCTCGCAAGACTACACCCTTCTCCCCGGAGCTTACTCTCACGAGACTACACTAATCTCCCCGGAGCTTACATTGCGTCTTCTGCTGCGCCTACGTCATATGCTCGAACACCTTCTCATGAATGCGCCTGCTTGAGCGACCGGAAGCTGGAGATTAGAGTTTATAAATTTTTTTAAATCAATATTTTTCTTAAACTAACGCATCATTTAGCTTTAGAAGGCCTTTATTAACACCCTGGAGCCGTGTGGAGTAGTTTTATGATGGATGGATGCAGTTTTTTCGGCTTCAAAAACAGGGGCACCATTCACTGCCATTATACAGCTTGGAAGAACCAGGACTGGGGCAGCACGATTAATCGAAATTAAATCGCAAAGGCGATAAATTGTGATTAGGCAGAAGCTGCGATTGTCATGCGTATCTTTCAGTGAAGCACGGTTCTGTGATCAGTAGTAAATCTCCATCCGAAGGCCAGAAGGTGCTCTCGCGCTGAAACACCAAATACGCCCCGCAGAAGAAATCAGGAAATTCCTATAGCGGTTGCTGAATAAACAGACGATTTAACTGCTGTCATTGATTCAACGTGACTAATAAACACACGACTACGACAATATATGGTTTATCTGAATTCGTCTTATTATAATGTTTATTATAATAAATTATATAATACTGCAATGCTAATCGACATAGCCTATATCACTGCTTAGTATACTATGAAGCATGTTGTGTGTCATCTCACAGAAGAATTTACTTCAAACACTTGACTGACATTATGAAGTGAGTTTGGATTAAAAACATGTTATTAAATCTGGTATTTTCACGTGCTTTCAGATGGAACAGCATTTACTACACAGAGCCGTAGTTCACTAACAAGCTACGCAGACAGCTTTCATAATCGCAGAATGATATCTTCGATTTCATAATCGCGCGATTAAATCGTCTGCGATTATGAGCGTGATTTTGCGTAGCTTGTCAGTGAACTACGTCTCTGTGTAGTAAATGCTGCTCCATCTGAAAGCACGTGCTGGAGATTTACTACTGATTACAGAACCGGCTTTACTGACAAGATGCGCATGACAATCGCATTTGATTAATCGTGCAGAATTAGAAAAGTAGAAAGTAAGCGAGACGACACAAGCGGCTTCCTTTATGTTTAGCCACTGGTCATTAGTTAACTTGTTTCCCAATTTCTGATTAGGTGGGCATGCATGAGAAATCTTTAGACTCATAACCAAACCATAATCCATAAAAGACAACAGTTTATTTAACCTTAACTGATATTAAGTGTGCGCTGCAAATGCAAGCATTTTTGATGATCGTTTCTGTCCAGTCCGCTCATTTTATTACAGCTGTCGTCGTTTTCTTTTGTCTGGCAATGGCAGCAGGTATGTGATAAAATTTCAAATTGGAGCCTGTACTCCATCGATTCTGACACTCAAAGATGACATTTTAAGATCCTAATGTAGCCGACTCTATACTGGTTTGTATTGGCCACCTCCAGGTATTCCTTTGTTTTTTGCCTCCAGCTAATGCTGTAACGTAATTGTGGCATCGGCACAAAAAGGGTCTATTAACAGAAAATCACAACATATGTTGGACGTGATCCTTATGTTATGAAGAGGAGCAATTTTTCAACTAAACTGAAATACTTGCCTGCCAACGAGGCGGTTGATGTAGGCTAAGCAACTAACCCTGATTGCAAACAAGCTAAATGAATCCTGCATTTATATGGGATGCGGGATATATCACTCCTGAAACTTTGCTGCATGTACAGGGTATGTGGCCGTTGGTCCTGTTAGCAGCACGTAAAACAAAACTTTTATTCAAATTCTGTATTGATTATAGCCTAGAAAGCAAATGGCACTTCCATATAATCACTAAAAAGCTGACACTCACTTCAGTTTATCTCACAATGTTCGTTATAAACAATGAAGCTCTCTAAACTGCACATATAATATCTTGTTTCCATCGTGTCTACGTGAGGCGTTTAGCATTGAGTGAATTTTGACTGTCTCATGCTGAATGCGTGAGAGTCGGCAGTCCTGGATTATCTATTTATATATTTCTTTTATCTTAATATATTATTATATCCTATATAGAACATTTGCACACATGAGCATTATCCCCATTATTTCTCCCCTTATGAATAACAAATTTTCGTAAACTATAAAAGCTCATTGTGGTTTCTCGGTTTGACCGATTTGAGCATCCATAAACAACGCAAAACATAGGCATTTTGAGTTTCTACTATCACTTCCTGCCCTCCAGCTGCATTTCGCGCCAAAGCAATGACGTCATGTGCAAACAACCTATTCTGTACCCGTTCGAAATCAATGGCTTTCAAACTCTCTTGTGTGCTTTTGTGCGCACGCTCTAGTTCCAAATTTTAAAACCAAAAGTTTTTATTTACAACGTGTTTTTGCAGCGTTGAGTATTGTAGCCAATCACAGGCATCTCTGTTGAAAGCACTGGCCAATTAATTTTTGTTTTTTGCAAGTTTACGGAGTTCTACACGCTCACAGATCTTCCTATTATAACGAGACAAAAAGAAAGCATACACTGTGTAAATAAGATATTAATTGTGTAGTTAGTTATTGATTATATCAGGAGTTTTCGCATGAGTGAGCTTGGCCATTTGCGCTATAAGGGAAGCGCCCACTCGGTTTCTCTACATACTTAATTCACAGTTTGAAGAAAAGTTTTGTTAGTCTAGGGGCCAAACATCCATGTATACTGTTTCAGGAATGACAAATGCGAGTGTAAAAAATGTTACGAGTGAATCTGCTAAATTGTGCCACGAATCATTGCTATGATTGACAGTGATAACTGTAGCAATGGATGGAATGAAACATCTGACAAGCCGATATAAAAAATAGAGCTGTGCATTAAGGGATGTCACATTTTTCACCCATGATGAGTTTGCGTCCATGGATGTTTCTAATCCATTCATTCATAACCTATAATAATTACAGATAGAGACATGGTGCGTTTATGCCATTGTAAAGTGTTTAAAGTGGGCCTCACCCTCTGTATGTATGAAGCGATATGATACAACAAGTCCACATCCAAAAACCTAGCAAAACACACACAAAAACAACACGTAATTTAAAGTAGGTTTGCACGGAAAACATCTGCCAGTCAAATCACTTTACAGCAGATAATGCATACTATGAAGTATTTTTGTGATTGAAAGCAGAAAATATATTGATTGAAAACAATAAAGAAAAAGTTTTTTTTTTAGTTTAATTAATCTACCACACAGCCATTAATGTTCTTCAACTTTTGTCCCACAGGTGTTCTGTTGTATGATGCTTTGGGATGGGAAGTGAGAATGCCAAAGGAAATTCACGGCCTCAAAGGTTCCTGTCTGGTTATACCATGTTCTTTCAGCTACACATCATACCCACCCAAAAACCCACTTAGAGTTGTGTGGTATCAGTGGGTCTCTAAAGGTTATCCTTTAGTTTACGATCCTTTGCATGCAAGCGATGTCATTGAGAAATTCAAAGGCAAAACTAATTTATATAGAAAATCAGGGAATTGCAGTCTGCTGATTACCGTACTGGAACTGTCCCACCATGGAGAGAAATTATATGCATGGATTGACCCTGAAAATGTTGGATGGCGCACCTACAAATTTTATGATGTCACCTCTACAGTCCTTGTTGATGGTATGTAAATATTCTTGGAATACTTACACTGTAATATCTGTGACTGTAGTGAAATATTGTGTGGTCAGTAACAATGGACATAAGAAAATGCTTCTTCCAAGTTTACATTTTTCAAAACATCAAACATCAAAACATTTTATGAAATTAATTTACAATGTAAAGTAAAATATTGTTCAAAATGAAGACAAAGAGGCTTGGATACTTTCTGGCTGTACAGCGTTGTAAAATGTGTTCATAGAGGAACTAATTTCACACATCACAAAAAATGACCTCAAGACTAGTTAGTAAAAAAAAATGAAAACGTTTCTAAGAAAAGGGAAGTTAGTTCTGAGAAAACCTCTAGCCTATATTTTCTTTTTTTTGCCACTCAGTCTTGTATCTAATGCAGTGAAATTCAGATATTTGTGAGTGTCCAAAAACTTGTTAGGGGTCACTTTTTTAAAATGGTATAATGTACTAATGTTTCTGTAAATTATAGCAAGTCCACAGCAGCCCAGCATCAGTATTTATGGAGGTGAGAAAATGGGTGACACCATCACAGTAGAATGTTCAACTTTCCACACGTGTCCATACAGCAAACCAACAATCACTCTGAACGGTATAGAACGAAATGACCAAATCAGGGATGAATCTATTAAAGATGGCCTGTTGAAAATCACTCTGACATGCACAGGTGTCGTAAGGGCAGAAAGCACGACTATTAAGTGTTCAGTAACACATCATGGTGGCATAAAAGCGACAGCTACAGAGGTCAAAAGGTCAAAATGTGAGTAAACACAAATATGAACTGCTTTGTGTTATGTAAGTTATAAGTTCACTTTAAATGCAACAGGTGGACCTATTACAAGATTTCAGTTCAATTTCAGGTGTTCATCATAACATAACGATTGAGCCTGAACTGGCAGATGCCACTGAGGGCGTCGCAAAGAACTTCATTTGTAGCGTCTACCATTTCTGCCAGAAAGAGAATCCAACCATCACATGGAACTATGAGAACATGCAGGTCACAGAGAGGAGAAAAACACTTTCAGGTTTAAATCAGATCAGCTATTCCAGCATAACCTTTCTGGGTGCAAAAGAAGATCATGGGAAGAAATTGATTTGCACTGCAAAATTTTCTGGAGGAGACATTTCAGCTTCTGTTGTTTTACATGTACAACGTGAGTAATTTGTTAGCATCACTTATTATGAGTGTGATCTCTCTGTGTCTTCTAATTATATTGGTTTCTATTTTCATTTTTATATAGATATAAATAACTAAATGTCACAGTCTTCAGCTGGTGTGCCCTAGATGGCCACCAGAGGACACTGTCTTTTGTGTGAGCACATGGCTTGTTGTGTGTTTGTTGGTGCCATGTGCTCTCCTGTCTATTGTCTGACCCCACCCATCTTGTTACCTCATTATTGTTTCAGTGGTTCCACCTGTGTCTCCCTCATTACCCTCCTCATTTGTCTCCCTATTTATTCTCCTTGTGTTTGCAGGCCTCTGCTGGTTTGTTAATTGTCGTTTGATGTATGAGTTGTTTGTACCCATGTTGCTACCGGTTTGGTGCTGCTCTGCCTGATCCTGCCTTGCTGTGTTGTGCCTTGTTCCTGGCCTACCTGCCTGTTTTTCCACCTAGGGGTAGTTATTGTTGGTTTTTGTTTTGTTTTTATTATTAAAAAAAAAAGGCCCATTCTTCTTGCATTTGAGTCCTCGCTTCATCTCGTCATCCAACCCGTGACACTAAAGAAATGTGAAAATCTGTCATTGTCTTATGTTCAAACCATTTAGTATTTTAATATCTGCATGCTAAATTCTGCTTTATCTTCTTTCTTGTATTTATTTGTATGTTGAATTGGTCCAGAAAATTGTGAACACAGCAAGATTTTGTAGTCCATTAGCTTGACTGAAGTGAAGTATGCTTTTTGAGATTTCAGTATTTTCCCATTCAAATAAATAGGAGTTGGTCCTGCTTGCCAAAAAAAGCTGCCTGGAGGCATTGCAAATATGGCCACTGTGTGAACTAAAGGGACTTTTAAGTCAATATGTTTGTAGCAGCTTACCTGAACAATAACACATCTGGTTTAATGGCACATACATTTGAAGGAAGCTATATCTCCCCCTTGAGTATTGATGCTTGTTACTGTGTTCACATACTTGTGTAAAGTATGTTTCCTAAGGCTGAAATATGACTATTTTTAGGAAGCATGGTTTGTCGTTCCATTGCTTTGCAGATGACACTCGAATCTATCTGCCCTTAAAACAGAGGTCTAATGCAATGGAAGCACTTATGACTTGCTTGTCTGATGTGAAAGCCTGGCTGTCTTTACATTTTAATTTCAAAGAGTAAAACTGAAATTTTCTTTGGTCCGTCGGATTCTCTTAGTTCACCAATATTAAATCTTGGTGATTTAACCTCTTCTGTAAAGCCTTGGGTAAAAAAATCTGGGTGTTTTTTTTTCCTTTTTTTTTGTTTTTTTCATGATGGCTTGAAATTTGACAGATAATTACAGTGGACAAATCCTGCTTCTTTCCGCTTCGACTACTAGCGAAAGTAAAACCTATTCTGTCTAGTAAAAAATTTGAAAAAGTAATTCATGCTTTTATTACATCTAGATTGGACTTCTGTAACTCGCTTTACTTTGGGATTAGCCAGTCAGCTCTATCCCACTTGCAGATAGTTCTAAACGCTGTTGCAAGACTTTTAACCAGTACAAAATTGAGACCACATTACACCAGGTTTACTGGTTGCCTGTGCGTTATAGAGTCCATTTTAAAATTCTTCTTTTAGTATTTAAATCTTTAAATGTTTTGGCCCCTCCTTATCTTTCGGATTTATTGACTGAGCATTGTCCAGTCTTGTCTCTCCGGTCGTCCACCAAGAGATGGTTATGCATCCCAAAGTCAAAGCTAAGGTGCAGGGGTAACTGCACTTTCTCAGTAGCTGCCCCCAGACTGTGGAAAGCTCTACCCTTCAGTATTAGATCTGCATCGTTGCTATCTGTTTTTAAATCCAAGTTGAAAACCTATTTCTTTGATTTGGCGTATTATTAATGGGGAAGTTTTTAATTGCACTGTTTTTAGTTATTTTCTATCGTCTTATGTCTTTTTCTCTCTTTTCTTTCTTTTTTTTTCCCATTGTGCAGCACATTGATCAACCTACGTTGTGCTTAATAGTGCTATATAAATACAATTGGCATTGACATGACACTTCATTTGCGCCAAAACCATAAATACAACAGCCTCAGAAAGCTTATTGTTACTTATTGTTTTCTACTGATTTTCTCACAGAGTACCAGAAACCAGTCCAGATCCTGAATGAAAGTATGTGGGATTTTTCCCCCCTGACACCATACTCTCATATTTATATTACTGTCCTGCACTCATAGGCCTTTTGATAATAAGCAACAATACCTTCAGTTCTGTAATAATATTGATTAATCCATTATATGATATATCATTTTAGCTCATTTCCAATACGTGGCAGACGTGATACCCAAGATCACCGCGTTGCCTCGTTCATGTGTGGTAATACCGTGCAGTTTCAAGATGGAAGAGGAATATGTCACTCATCTTCGGGTTCTTTGGGTCACTGAAGGAGGTGGCTACATGTCCCACACCGACCCAGACGATGTCTTGGACAACTTCAAAGGCCGCACAAGACTCCTCGGAAACCCGGATGAGCAGAACTGTACTGTGGAGATGGATAATGTGCAAACTCATGACAACGGGCCGTTCTGCTTCCGAGCAGAAAAAGGAAACGAGAAATACAGCTTCAAAAACAGCTGTGTGTTCATTATAATGCGGGGTGAGGAAATATAACCAATCACTTGGGTTTGCAAACTTCTGAAAACTTCACAACAACATTTACAACAACTGTATTTCATGCATCACATTCCAAAACTAATTTAATGTCTTTGTGTTAAAAAGCACCCGTCAAACCTGTGATGTCATCCCTCCCTGAAGACATCGAGCCCAGGACACGAGTCGCCGTCAAATGCTCAGTCAACCACACATGCTCCTCTCACCCTCCCCAAATCACCTGGAGCGTCCCAACAGCCCGAGAAACTATCAGCCACAGTCACATGGGTGGAGGCGTCTGGGAAACAGTGTCCGCTGTGATCTTTATTCCAACTGGATATGAAGAGAAAGATGAAATTGTCTGCACCGCCAAATTTTGGGGTGGTAAAACACAGGAAAATACTGCCTTCCTGAGTATTAGAAGTAAGTACAGACTGATGTTAATGGGATTGGCTTGTGCATGTTAGACTCTTTGGTCCATTTTTTAACATGATTGGTCAAATAGAAACTGTATTTCATGATGTGACTGTTAATCCTTTTAACAATAATTTTATTATAGGAGTTCAGGGGCTTAGATTGGAGACTCTTGGGTCTAATATCATTGCTCCCTCACTTGTGTTCATTCTCATTTGTGTACTTGCTGGAGTCTTCATATATAAAATGCGACACAGGTATGTTTTTTTTTTTTTGGGGGGCTTATACTCTATGAATGTCTGTATTTAAATTTTAGGTCTCTATAGCCCTGTCCGAACAGGATTAGTTTTACATGGAGAGGTGGGGTTGAACAATTATTACTAGAGCTTCTCAGTGATTTTAGTTCCATCCGAATGTGCCATCTCAGTGGACCTAACTGATATAATAAGCAACATATTACAAGCAATGTGGAATGCACATGATGACAGGGAGGTGATGGCGGTGCATAAATCAAGTTACCCCTCCCACTTCTGGTAGTAAGAGATTTCTTATCCTGTGTGAATTGGCCATTAATATTACAGACGTCCTGTGGTAAAATTACTGCATCTACCCTTGTAAAACTAATCTCGTCCAAATGGTGCTTATGTCAAACCATCTAGAGCCACCAGGAGGTCAAAGTTGCACTGATTTCTGCTTGTAACTTCCATTTTGTCAAAGACATACTTTTTTGAACTCATCCTAGATACTTTATCAGATCATCTCCAACTTTGGGTCAAAGAATGTTGAGACAGTGCCGTTCTCACCGTTCTCAACCATTCTAATGTAACAGCAAGGACGCCAAAGTAAAACTGTATCTCACTTTTACATTGTCATTTCTGATTGTAGACAGCTTCATCCAGATATGCAAGAGTCACAATCGCAATCTGAACGGAGGTATGTGAGGAATGACATTAATTTATCAATTTTTACTAATGAATTAATGTTAAAACCTTTGGATTTATAATACACTAGCAATTGTAAGCCTGTTCTCTAATGTAGGAGGTCAGTTTGGAACAGATTATCAAGGTGAGGTTTTCTTTACTAAACTTATCTTTTTATCTTTGTATCTTTGTATTTGTTCCTGAGATTAAATTTAACATTTTTCTCCCAGCCGTTTAAGTATGTCTGACAGAAGAGCAGCTTGGACTAATAGAGGAAACAGGAGTGATAGAAGGCAAGTACAACATAGAAAGGTCAAAAAAGTTAGTGTTGGTATTTCTTTCTAATGAACTAACTAGTGCCATCTACAGGGACACTGGAGATGATACTCAAAGACAAATGAGGCGTGAACAAAGGTAGGTTGAAAATATAATTATAATTATAATTTGTATTACATTTGTAGTCAAACTATTTAAACGTCACATCTCTCAACAGACGGAGCATTTGGAGCCGATTTTCTAGGTAATGAATATTCACATTTTTGTATTCATTTCATGTGTTTCATTATTAAAATCTTCAATTTTATTTATTTATTTATTTGTAGACACCAATCACCCAGAACCAATGCAAATCTCAGAACAGATTACAGGTATTAAAAAAATAATAATAATAAATAACAAAACGGATTTTCATAAGAAAGTAGTTTCTATTCATTTTCCTAGTTAAAAGACACATATGACTGATAATTAACATTAATAAAATGTGAAGGTGAATATTGATTCATGCGGTACATTTAATTAACTACGAAAACTATTTCTCCAATTACCTTTCAACATTACACTTCAGCCACTCAGGCCGTCATTTTGATAGCACCACAATATTGACACTTTGAGAGGAAATCATTTGACAAATGTTCTACAGTTGTCTTTGCACACTGAACAGAGAAAGTATTTAAACATGTTAAAAACAATTCCTCACAGCATCACACATTTTTGCTTCTATCCCCCACTCACTAATGAAACTCTCTTCACAGAACAAACAACATTTGTACGGTGTCAGGAAACAAGCCTTTCTCCAAACCTCATATGCCGTCACCAAAGAGGTCAGTGCATTGAACCACATCTATGTTTCTTAAAGGGGTCATGAACTGCATTTTTTCTTCTACGTTTTATAATGTTCTCTGAGGGCCACTTACAATGTTAGCAAGATTTTTACATCACTTAGAAGTAAACTTAGAAGTAATAGGCTATTTTCTGTCCTGTTTTTGAACCTGGATGCGAGCAGTGCAATTCAACACAACTAGAGACAGAACCAATTGCAATCAGTGATATTGTCTTCACTGGATGCGGCGCTGCAAATCTCCAACAGTAAATTGATGCTCTGTTCTACTTCTGATGCTCATGCTACTGTACTTACAGTATAACATGAAGAAATGGATTCTGCACTAATGAGGAACTTTTGAGTTCTGAAACTTACGGGATGTTTTTATATCACAATGACATCTGATGTGAATTGATTTCTCAATTCATGACCCCTTTAAGGCCTAAAATCATTACACAGCATGTTACACAGCAAAAAAAATACTTATTCAGTTTCTGAGGAAAATCATACTTTTTCAGTTTCTTCCTGATTCTTCCTGGTTTTTTGTCTATTCCTTTTCACCATGCACCTCAGTGAGCCAAAATCCTCAGTGAGTATATATTTTTATTTCTACCATTATTCAACTGGAAATGATTTCTATGATTTCAAAAGCTGCCCCAAAATATGTTATTGACTGACCTCTGTGTCCTTTTTTTGCCTTTTTTTTAATATTACATTAAGGGTTATGATTATGAGGCTGTTTACTCCAACATGGAAGATCTCAACGTGTATGGAAATATCTGATGATAATGATCAACACAAAGTTCAACAGTTTTTTCTTTTTTAAATGCTCAAAATAATATTAATCAGATTATATGCTTTCAAATGTAATCACTCTTTTTGAGTCTGTATTGACTTAAATGATTTTATTAATGTTGTTGTCTCTGTTGTACTCTGCCATTTATCAACACTTTCCAGCATATTTGTGTGAAAACATAACAATAAATATAAAAGTTCCATCCATTCTAGCACCTTGATGATTCTTTATCAATTTCATTATCCTTATCAATATCATACTGCATAAGTTTGCAGTAAGTTTGTAAAATATGCAGTAATGTATATGTTGTTGTGAAACAAATTTGCACCAGTGTATACAATTCTTACACTGTTACCAGTATTGACAGCAAACTGCATGAACATATTGTGATTAAACCAAATGTTTTTAGAAATAATAATCTTTGTAGCAATGATTGTGAAAGGAAACAAGTATAACCCCAATCAGGCACAATAACAGGCCCAAAATTAATGATTAGCAGTGTTAATGTCTTGACTGGTTAGGCAAGATGGATGAGGAGAAGCTGATCTAAATGCAGCTCTTTCACTTTATTTAACAAACAACACCATTCACTGAACTAAGCAAACCAAGGGCAAAAAGTAGAAAGGCTAATGAGAACAAAACTAGAAACAGGTGTGCAACATAATCAGGAATGACAACAAATGGGTAGCAGAAACAAATGAAACAGGAATGAAACATGAAAAACTAAAAGTGGTGCACTTTGTTTTTAAATTTACCACTTGTGTATTATAAAGATCTCTCTTGTCAGAGTCACAAATTGTGACATTCTTTTCAGGAAATACTATATTTGAGTGACACAAGTGCATTGTGATGAACTCTGACACTAAATAAGACCAAGGAGATATCTTTCATCTTGCTGGGTGTGGGCCTCACACCAACAAATGGGCTGAACTTCATAAAAAAAGAAGAAGGAGATATCTTTCATCTTGCTGCATGGGTGTAGGCCTCACACCAACAAACGGGCTGACCTTCATAAAATAAAAAAAAACGTTTTCTTTCTTTCACTTCACCTATTTTTTACTTTTCTCTTCTTGGTAATAGGTTCTTTCCCCAATCCTCTACAGAGGACTACTAAAAAGGTAAGAATGAAAAACTGAAGGATGTTAAAGTATGCAAGTGTGTTAAAGTGCTTAAGAAGAAGACTGAAGGGGGTGAGAGAGAAAGAGAGAGAAGAAATTACTCTGAAAAGCTGCAGTATCCACCTTTTTCCAAAAGAGTGTGTTTTAAATTATGGGTGGCACTTCCGGTTTAGAGAACTTCCATTCAAAATGACTGAAACAAATCATTTCAACTAATTAGCTGAGCAACAAATAATAATCATCTGTCAGTTTGACTGAATGGGCTGTGCGGCTATTTTAATCCACCGGGAAAATAATACAAAGCTTGATTTTTAATGTGACCTTGTTATCACAAGAATATATATATGACATCTTTTCAGTCCGGTAGCCGTGTTCTGTTCTGTTAATATGAAAAGGACAACAGTGGTCTGCTCTTCCGTTTTTCTCCGCAAATCCTCTCATCTTTGTCCTGGTTATTCACACTGCACTTAAAAACATATCTGCCTCCTCCTTTTCACTTCTAATATCAGCAATGTTTACTGTAATATTTATAAAGTTGGGAAATACAACATTTATCTTGAAAAAAGAAGGAACACACTTTGAAATATTCATCAGTGTTCCAGTTAATGACGGAAAAGTTTTGATTAATGCAACGTTACATAAGTATAGACTTGGACATTACTGTACAGTAGGCTCATATTTAACAACGCTGCTGAAAGACTCATTTGAGCTTTTGGGGTTATTCATGGTCTGCTGATTTAATACCTTTACACTTTTAAAGTTTGCTTTTGATGTTTGATGGTTGAGTGAGAAGAATAATGTCACCTTATTGTACGCTGATTTAACAAATTATTATTACTGAATATTTGAAGTGAAACTTTAAACAAGTTAAAAAAAGTTTGTCAGTTGGTGAGTGCTTACATGTTAACAGAAGTTACTTCTATAATTTGCACAAAGCGTCAGGAAAAAGGTGGATAGCCTAAGTGATCAACTGATCAGATATGCTGAACAGAATGCTGTAGATTTTAACCATATTAACTGTTAACTTTGGTTTTTGTTTATGTATTCACCCAGGAACATGAAAGCATCACTTTTTTTACTTTTTCAAGGTATAGTATCTGTTTTCCTCTTTTAGGCATGTTCTGCTACAATAAACATTTATATGCAATTAATATATAATGTAACAGAAATGCATATAAATTGAGTTTTTTTCCAGGGCTACTTAGCACTATCAAATACCACATTCCCAAAATTTTGCACACACACACACATACACACACAGGGAAAACTTTACACACAGCAGTCAATACTGAATTACAGCCTACGTCTGATTGACACTAACAGGGTTATTCATATTTTATTCAGGAATAAAATAAAATGAAACGATAATACAAACACAAATATACTCATTTTAATCAACGTTTTGAAAGAAAAAGTTAAACTCACAAGCCAAGGTGCAGAAACATTGCACTTTTGCAATGTACATGTGTGTCTGTGTGGAATTTTGAGGGCATGTTGCCTCAAATGTGGTAGTGGTAAAGGACTACAGACCAAGATGGAGGCTCTCTAAAAACTACAACACCCAGGTCATGAAGACTAGATGGACAGAAATGGTTTGCAATTATGTTGAGACCAAAAGACAATAAGTAATAACCAGAAAAAAGAAAAAAAAAATCCAATTGCTTGGCTTTTCAGAGGTCTTCACATTAGCACGATACATTTTGTTGAATTCATAGTGTGTATCCATCCGAAAACTGTAAACAGATTCTACTTGCTTCCTTAATACCAAATTTATTGAATCACTTCAAAACCTTTTCATACTATTTATCTCTTTTTTATCCAAAAACCAAAATGCAACAATGACAAGATATAACTATCATGTAATAACAGCTAGCCATACATCTTTACACTACATGTTTATAGCAGCCATAAAAAGCTGAATCTACTTACACTTATGTAAACTACTAAGTTTAGTGTGCTTTGGTGTCCTACACTAACAGAAAACAACAGAAAACAGGCAATTAAAATGCTAAAACTACCAGCTGAAATGAACAAGCAGCCATTTATGACTCCAACTTTTGTACCACAGGTATTCTGCTGTATGATGCTTTGGGATGGGAAGTGAGAATGCCGAAAGACATCAATGGCCTCAAAGGTTCTTGTCTGGTCATACCATGTTCTTTCAGCTACACATCATACCCACCCCAAAAACCACGTAGAGTTGTGTGGTATCAGTGGGTCTCTAAAGGTTATCCTTTAGTTTATGATCCAAGGTATCCAGATTATGTCATTGAGAAGTTCAGAGAGAAAACTGATTTATATGGTGACCCATTAAGTAGGGATTGCAGTCTGTTAATTAAAAACCTGGAACAGTCCCACCATGGAGAGAAATTATATGCATGGATTGACCCTGAAAATGTTGGATGGCGCACCTACAAATTTTATGATGTCACCTCTACAATTCAAGTTGACGGTACGTAAATACTTTGTTCTTCAAAACTTGCTTGACTTCTTATCTAGTTGCCTAATATTGACATTTCTGCTATTTGTAGCAAGTCCACAGCTGCCCAGCATCAGTATTTCTGGAGGTGAAAGGACGGGTGACGCCATCACAGTAGAATGTTCAACTTTCCACACGTGTCCATACAGCAAACCAACCATCACTCTGAACGGTATAGAAGGATCTGACAAAATAGTCAATGACTCCATTAAAGATGGCCCGTGGAAAATCACTCTGACACGCACAGGTGTTGTAAAGGCAGAAAACTCAACTATTAAGTGTTCAGTAACACATTATGGTGGCATAACAGTGACAGATACAAAAAACACAAGTGCACAATGTGAGTAAACACAAACATGAACTGATTTGTGTGCTATTAGCTATTCACTTTAAATGTCACATTGAGACCTATTACAAGATTTCAGTTCAATTTCAGGTGTTCATCATAACATAACGATTGAGCCTGAACTGGCAGATGTCACAGAGGGCGTCGCAAAGAACTTCATTTGTAGCGTCTACCATTCCTGCCAGAAAGAGAATCCAAACATCACATGGAACTATGAGAACATGCAGGTCACAGAGTGGAGCAAAACACTTTCTGGTTTAAATTGGGTCATCTACTCTAACATAACCTTTCTGGGTGCAAAAGTAGATCATGAGAAGAAATTGATATGTACTGCAAAATTTTCTGGAAGAGACATTATGGCATCTGTTGTCTTAAATGTGCAATGTGAGTGATTTATTTAACATATACTGTCTCAACCATGTCTCATCATTCATATTGTTTTCTATATTGATATTGTTTATTTAGTTTTTTTTCCTGGAGTCCATACTTACGTCATTGTTATGCCTTTCAGATCAGTTATGATATTATCAGTTGTGTGCTAATAATAATGATTAATCCTTTTATCCCTTTTCCATAATAAAGCAGACCCAGTGCTCATTGGACTGGAGACTATTGGTCTTTATATCCTAACGCCATCACTTGTGTTCCTTCTGGTTTGTATACTTGCTGGAGTCATCATATATAAGAAGCGACAAAGGTAACTCTTTGTGTATGTTTCTTTAGGCCAGGAATTTCTAAACATTTTTTGTCAGCTGAACCCCTTAGAGGTAAAATATTTACCCTGTGAGATTTAAAGTTAATATTTAAATAATTTAACAACACATGCATGATCATGCACGACTTATTTTGCTATAATATATATTATTTTGCACTTTTCTGCAACAAAATTTCATCTCATATACAAATGTTTTATAGTGCTGCTGTTGAAAGCTTTCAGTCATCAAACTGAACAAAAAAAGTCTTTGCATTGACTTTGTACAACTAGACTTGAAAGTGGATTCAGAAACAGAAATTTTTTTTTTGATTGCCAAGAGAATAGGGTGGCAACTGTACACTCAGTAAACTGTTATGTTTGCGTGCACTGGGAATCATATCTCAACTAAAGACCACATATTACTAATTTCACATACAGAACACAGTGAATATGACAAACTTTACACTTTTTGTCTGAGAAATAATTGTTTGCTTTTGAGGAGTGCTAGCAAATGCTAATTAGATATTCTGAGAACAAATTAGATGTGTAATAAGTTGTCGTATCACTTACCATATACAGGTACTGTATGTAGATGTTCATTGGACGATACACAGGAAGCAATGTTTATATATAATTTTTATGCATTCAGTCTCTTTCTCCTTTGCTGCTTGATTAGATAATCTTTAATCATCTGATTTTCTGTACCTTCTTTTAAAAGTTATAATTTAACATAGGTTTCGATAACTTTGAGTCATATTGATGTGCTGCATTGATGTTTATCAATTTTAGTCAATATGCAAAAAAATCATGTGGATGTGGAGCAGTCAGTAATGAAAGGCATTAATCTGGAGGTCAAATCAAATGGGAATAAACTAAGTAGAAATCAAACAAAAGAGGAAAAACGTTAGTAAAACTCACAGCATCACCTTCCGTTCTTACACATGACATCTGTTCCCATTCAGGTCAAAAGATGCAATGTCAGGAAACGAGGCATTCTCCAAACCTTATATGCCGTCACCAAAGAGGTACAGCACATTTGAACCCATATAAGTGTAAATTAAAAAAAAAAAAAATAACAAGATATTTTTGGTATTTAAATGGAATAACCACAAAAAACAAACAAGAAAATTATGTGTATATATATATATATAATTTTTTTCCCCCCCATGCACCTCAGTGATCCAAAATCCCGCTCTGTGAGTATATTATTTGCACTGTGTTACACTGTGGAAAACATACTGAGATCCTTTGAGAAATTCTTATTGAAATATGCTATTAACTGATGTCTGGCTCTCTGTTCTCTCTTGAAATATTCTATTAAGGGTTATGATTATGAAGCTGAATACACCAACATGGACGAACTCAACATGTATGGAAATATCTGATGAAAACAACATCAAAGCAAAATGGGCTCAATACAGTTTTTTTATTTTATTATTATTATTTTTTTAATATTAACAGTGTTAGACTTTATTAATAATGTTATTATTAATATTTTTGTTACATTTATCATGTATGCGTCTCTTTTTAGAATTCCAGATCTATTCAGGTTGGTTAAGCAAACAACTGCTCTGATTTATGCTTATGAATAATATATGTAATATTATACTGATTTAAAAAAAAAAATACTACTTTTGTACCTGACTATTAAATATGATTGAATCATTGTTACGTTCAGACAGTGACATACCAAACAGAAAGTGAGGCTGTTTCTTAGAAATGCTTTATTGAAACAAAATTTTGTGAATGTTGTCACCATCCTGAGAGTACTTTGAGCAGTATGCGGACAGCGCCGCCTACTGGTCAAGAAATCATATAAATTGGACATTCCGCGTAAATTTAAATAACGGATCTGACACTGCTTTTTCTGTTTTTATCAGTCATCATGGCCAGTGTCTAACTTTTACATTATCATTAGTTATTGTAGACACGCCATTATTTGGAAGGGCACAAACGTAAATAAATACAAAGTCTGTTTCTGAATCTGTAGGCTGTATAAAATATAACATTAATTTATGCGTCATACATTATTCTGTACACTCTAAAAAATGCTGGGTTAAATACAACCCGGTGCTGGGTAAAATAGGGACAAACCCAGCAATTGGGTTGTTTTGACCCAGCGGTTGGGTTAAATGTTTAACCCAACCTTCTGGGTAGTAACCTAACCCAGCATTTTTTAGAGTGTACCTTTTTTTCTGGTGTCTCTCTTAACTCCTTATGAAAAACAAAATCGAAAAAACAAAATACCTTTTGTATTACAACCTAAGTTTACAACAAAACACAGAAAACATACTTATTTATGTGGATTTTTGTACTTTGTAAGTGGCAGGCGTAGCCAGATTTTTATTTTTGGGCGGGCCTGGGCAAAGTGAGCGGCACTATAGGCTAACGGACATAGCGCAAATCTGCGGGCCCCCAATTGCTAACTCAATGATGGGTGCATACCTCGCAATATTGTAAATATTTGCTTTAAACCAGGAAGGCGAGCCAATGGATATCACACAAGCAACGTGCAAACTTTACGGCAAGAGTTATGCAGTGAACCTCTTAATCTCAGTTGATTCACTAGCATTGTAGACACGCCATTATTTGGAAGGGCACAAACATAATCTGAACAGAGATAGGCCTATAGCCTATATTCATGATAAAACTTTACAATGTCTAACAAATACGGCAAGAGTTATGCAGTGAACCTCTTAATCTCAGTTGATTCACTAGAAAGTGAAAGTAAAAACTTGCGGCGCTTTCGGCATCTGACGCTGCATTAACAGCGCATATTCTCTCAGAGAGGACGAGAGACGAATCTACTTCATATTATGCTGATAATGGTAGCCTATATAGCTAAATGTTTTAATTTACTCCCTTAATATTTCTCTTGTGGCCCGAACATAGGACAAAAAAAATTAAAAAAAATAAAGAGAGAAGAACCGTAGGCTATTTCGTGTTAAACAGGTTTTTTTTTCTTGAAATAAAGCTTTTTCATTGATGATTGCAGTGTTAATAATTTTAATTATAGGCCTATAATTCATTGTACAATAAACCTGTTTTGAAATAGTAAGCTAGCCTAATCTTTATTATCCACGCAGCGCATCAGTTATGCGGTGATGAGCTATGAAATTATTGCGGGGCAAATTAATTGTAGCCAAATATTAATTTTATAATAAAAGTAACTTCATAATAATAATAGGCCTAATAGGCTAATAAGAAGAATGTAACAGGCCTATGTTAATTGAAAATGCCAAATTAGATAACTAAAGTGTATAAAATTGTTTTATTCAGAAATGTCATGCTTGTGATTTTTTTTTTTACATTTGTTAATTCGTTATTTAAATTAATAGGCTTACAAATTAGGAAATAGGTGCAGTTAATCGCCGGCGTCAGTCACAAAAAAATTATATTTAAAAAAATAAAATAAAATAATAATAATAATAATAATAAATAGGCTAATCTTTGTGAGGACGACTGGCAACAGCTGTTCTTAAATTCTTTAGACACCGCATACCAAACGACTTTGGACACCGACTGAAAACACTGACTGAGCTCAAATGACATTCATAATCGGCCTGACAGTAGTGTTTCCCGGTGTTGTCATATTCAGTTCTTGTGAAAAACTGTTCCAGTGGGTGGAGTAAACATGAATATTAATTTATTCCCGTATTGTGGGCGTGTCCTTGAGACAACGCGCAAACGAATGGAACTGAAAATATTAGTGCACGCTCTTCAAATCGCAACTTGTTTATCGGATTATTTCGAAAAGGTAACGAAGTTTCAATGTGTAGAATTAACTGCAACAGTGTCAACACAATGCATAGTTTGTGTAATATGATAAATCGTCTGAGCTGTTCTGCCTGATTGATTACAGGCACACAGCAGAGCAAACAAGAAGAGAATAACCTGTGCTAACCCAGGCTAATATAGTTTTTACTCTTTGATGTGCTAAGCTTTTTATTTCATTTGTGAGACAAATTTTTGTTTGAATAGTTTGATTAGCAGCCTACCTAGTTGTCATCGGTGACTATAGTACATTGTGCTTACAACAGTGCTTGAAATAAGTGATGTTTTATTAACAAGTTTCGGGAGGAGCACGCGCAGATAATTAACACGGCCAGTTCATCATCAGTAATTACATCATCTATCCAATCAGCACAAGAGAGAACCTCTATAAATAATCAAAGAAGCCTTACCTCCATTATCTCTAGTCTTTCAGCATTGGCACGCTCCCACAGGAGCTTTTCCATACTTCCCCACTGCCTCAGCAGTTCCCGCTCCCGCAGGAGCTTTTTCATATTTCCCCACTGCCGCAACAGTGCCCACTCCCGCAGGAACTCTCCCATATTTCCCCACTGCCGCAGCAGTGCCCGCTCCCGCAGGAGCTTTTCCATATTTCCCCACTGCCGCAGCAGTTCCCGCTTCCGCAGAAGCCACTTTCTCTTTTCAGATGCCGCAGCAGCGGCCGCTTCCGCAGAAGCCATTTTTTCTTTTCAGATGCTGTAGCAGTTCCCACTCCCACAGGAGTTTTTCTTTTTCAGATGCCGCAGCAGCGCCCGCTTCCGCAGAAGCCTCTAGTTCTCTCTTCTAAGCCTCAGCAGTGCCGCTACTACAAGCGATGTCCAGCACCCCTCCAATTTTAAGTTTTGCAAATTTTGGGGGGTTATCAATGCTCCTCTCTGGCTGCTGTCCCGTACTAATTGCATCTTTGGGGGAGCACTTTGGGTCCGGGCTTAGACCCGAGCTCGGACCCCTCTCCCCGGACGGGGGGAGTACCCCGGGCTCGAGAGTAATGAACGAGCTCGGAGTCCTCTCCCCGGACAGCACGCCAAATACGCATAACCTTTACTCCGTTCATTATATGTACGTGTGAACTCGTGAAACCTCTACAAATGTATCTGTGGCCTAATAAAGTGTAAGTTAGTCTGTTGGAGTATACTGTGGCATTCTTAATTTCTTGTTTATTTTGTATATAGCCAGTGTTTCTGTTACCTATATAAGCTACATACCTGAGATTTTATTTATTTTTTTGTAGTCAAAATGCTAATCATTATAACAAACATTGCAGTTTGTAATTGTTACAGCCACTGCCATAACAAAAGAGGGACAACACAAAGGCTCGGTAACTAAGGGGAATTTATTGAAATAATTTAAACAATGTGTGGGAGAAACTTAGTCAGGGAAATAAAAATAAAAACACAACAGAGAGCGCATCTCCGTTTCTGGACGGCAGCTTAAGTCCAGCCGCTGAAATGTGTCAACTTGGCTTCTTTTAAGCACACGATAATGGTCCACAGCTGTAAGGAATCTGCACAATTAAACACAAAACAAAGGTAATCGCCTTTTCCTGTCCCTAGATAGAAATAAATACACATGCATGCACACGTAACAGTAATTGATTAAATAATACAGTGCATAAACCTTAAAGGGGTCATAGGATGCCCATTTTCCACAGGTTGATATTATTCTTTAGAGTCTTAAAGGGGTCATATGATGCTGCTAAAAAGAACATTATTTGGTGTATTTGGTGTAATGAAATGTGTTTATGCGGAACTAAAGCCTTCTTCATTCACGCAGTGAAACTGCACGGCCATTGGTTCGTGCAGTGTAATAAAAAACGAACCAATGGCTAGTCAGTGGAGCTGCACGAGCCTATGGCGATGAAGCCCGCCAAGCCTGCCAAAGCCCGCGAGAATGGGCGGGGCATCTGACTATATAAGCGGGCATTCGCCACAGGATTCTCAGATTTCTTCTCCTTCGGCGACGACTGAAAAAGATCCGACGCTGATCCTGAAAGCCTGCTCGCCACTGACACGCCTTGCAGCTGGATTGAGACCTCCCTGCTCGGCTGACCGGCTCTCTTTGCGCCTCAGCATCGCAGCAGTTCCGGTCCTGTTCCCCTGCCGCCATCCGGCGATACTGAGAGAGCTTATTGCTAGCAGGTAAGCCCTAAAATAGCAAATTCTAGCGACGTTGTTGCAAATGTCGCGCTGCGAGTGTGGCTCGTGCAGGGAATCTTACACGATGCAGAAGGGCAGTGATTGTAGTCACCTGTCTGGGCAGCCCCCACGCAGAGACTGCCCGCTCACTGAGACGGAATGCTCTCGTTGAAAGCATGATTCTCGCCCTTCTCCACTCGCGGACCGCCTTAACTGAAGGCAGCCCCGCTCTCCCGTTTCCCCTCTCTCAGCGAGCCTTGAAGAGGGAAACAGCGGAATCAGGTAATAAGTAACCGGGTTGACTGATCTCATGCTGGCACTGTGCCTACGTGCTCTCTCTCCCCGTTGCACTCCGATCCGCCGCAGAAGGGCAGTGAGCTGCGCGCTTACTGAGACAGAATGCTCATTCAGAGCATGAGTCTCGCTCTTCTCCACTCGCGGAACGCCTTTCACTGAAGGCAGCCCCACTCTCCTGTTTC